TTGAATGATTCTTTGTGAGATCAACCATTCACTCACAAAAGAAGACTCTCTACCTTTAAACTCTTCCATTAAAGCACTTGTGTTATGCGAGAAAAACTTACTTCTGGTTCAAATGCCCCATCCCACCCAGGCAAGGTTCAGATTTCCCACACACATACCCTCTGGGCATGGACAATTCAAATAGCCCACCTCCTTTATTTGTTAATAGGTACATTTTACTGGTATTTCAGGATGCAAAGAAAAAGGAAGAGAGTCTACAGTGGCTGAAAAATGCTGCAAACCAAGGGTCTTGCCATGCTGCATATGATCTATGGAAACTGAGATTTTGTGAAGGTCCAATGGAACCTTACTCAAAACTGGAGAGACTTAGAGAACTGCGAGACTGTGCTATAGCCAGTCATCCTGATGCTCAACTTACTCTAGCCCTTGAATATGCGAGAGGAAATCTGGGTGGGGTCACTAAAACACAAGTGGCAGAGTTTATATCACAGGTATAGAAAGACATTTCTCACTCTTAATAGGTCAATTCATCCTCAAACTTTAAATCAGTATTTTTCCTGCTCTGGCCAGAAATGTATCTGATCCCATTATATGTCGAACTACTGAATGGTTGAAATGTTCGATTTTTTTTTAATATTCCATGTAATGATCATATGAAATCATCTCCTGTTCTCTTGAGGTCTAATGTTTTCGTGCTCTCATGCAGTTTGTCTCAAGATCAAGGCCACTTAATAGCCACAAGCTCTTCAACTTTCAAACTGAACTCAACAGCACAATGAGGTAATTATTTACTTCTATACATAGATAACATCACTCATAATATGTTGAACTTCAACCAGTGTTCTTCATGGATGCATTTCAAATAAGGTTAAATATGACTTTAAATGGAATATGACCCTGTAAAGCCTGAAGACATTACGCTAACAGGCAGACTTTATTTATGCTCCATTACTTCATTCAAAGTAATTTTGCTTGTTGATTTTCAGATATATCTTAGTTGACTGGCTTGTAGAAGTAGCTGTAATGAAGGTATTTGCAATTTTTAATTTACTTTAATTTTAAGTCTCCTGAATTTATCGAGTAATGTGACTCATCGTATGAAATCATCTCCATCTTCTCGGATAGGGACGAATAAATGGAGGTCCCGTCTCCTGCAGGGTTAGGGGTAGGAGACGTTAATTTCCCACACGAGATTACTGTGTGATGGATGTCCTCCCCTGGGGTGGGAAGGTGAGATCAATAGACTGAAGCGGCTGCCAGAGGCGCCTGATATGCTGACGTCTGTTCTCAACCTTACACTGCACCCGTAATTCAGTCTCTGGGCTGCAAGTCATCAGATATAAACTATATTTATATTCATATATTCATCTCACTCTGTAATTGTTAACACTGCATTCAGACATCCACTTACTCTTTGTCAAACAGGATTTTCCTAGTCAGATAGTTCACATTGCTGTTAGCTGTGTAGATAAATATTTAATGCCGTGCAAAGTGCAGAGATCAGAGTTGCAACTTCTTGGAATCACCTGCATGTTAATTGCAGCAAGGTATATATGTCACCAATCTGATTTAAACTTAGCATTCTTTTAAACTTGTAATGAACCTAGTCCACAAGAAGACCCTTGTTATTGAGGCTGCTGCATGAATGTTTCTTCGTGAGAAAGAACAACTGTAAGCATAAGGCCTTGAGTAAAGCAAGCCAGGAAGATGTCTACATAGGATGTGGCCCTGATTATGAGAGACCCCTCCCTAGCCACCATTGCTCATTAGGCATTAAATTTTTTCTCAAGGCAAGAAACACTTGTACCGAAGTACTAATAATGTAGCCTGGCTGCATGCTGTAGTGAGCCATACGGTTGTAGTTTTAAAATGGTCTATAAATATAATCCCTACAGATTTCAAGGAACAGATATTGTTACCATAAGGGAAGCTGCCTGGTTGACTGACGGCACCTACAAGTACGAAGAAGTAGTAAGGTTAGTTTAACAGTACTGTCACTTAAGAAGACTGTCAAACAATGCTTCTAGAAATGAAGGGTCTATAGTTAGAGTTAAACAGATAATCAGGGCTTGCAAACTTTGAGTGCTGAAAGTTATATCCCAAGAAAAAGAAAGATGCTTTTCCATCTTGTCACAAGCCTAGAACAAAGGAAGCATTCTCAATTACCCTGTGAGCAGAGCCTTTTTGAACCCATTCTTGAATCGAAAAGGGAAAAAGGCTCTGCCGACATCTTGTTGTTGCTTGTCTGAGCATGCACGGCGGTTACCTAGAAACTGATCCTTTTCCAGGCCCCCTTGAACTATTGTGGGCGCAGATTTGGTCATCTGTGTACATGAAAAACAAAAGCGTGCACACCAAAACCGGTTTGACTGGAGGCAAAACTGGCTTGACTAGCCCAGAGTTTTGGGCTTTCGGTGTTTCAAAGCAACAACAGGATGTCGGCAGAGCCTTTTCCCTTGGAGGGTTAAAAAGAAGAAAAGGCTCTGCTCACAGGGTAATTCTCCATCTGATTCAAGCCTCAAAGCTTCAAGCTCAGCACTCCAAAGGTCTACTACTGTTCTTTATGTTGAGTTGCTCACATAGACTTAATTACAGCTTTTGTTTAAATTACAGCTAATTGTTGTTTGTTTCATCTTCAGAATGATGGGTGAGGTGATGTCCTCTATCAAGGGTCAAGTCAGAGTAAGTATTTTTTTTTTTGTCTGTTTATTAGTGTACTGTTTGGTAGTTGCTTTCCCACCTGTTGTCGACTCCACACATCACTCCATATTTCTAAGTCCTACACTGGTTGTCAGATTGCTGATTTGTATTGCTTGGATTTTTCCACAGGTCCTCACCATTCCTGATTTTCTTCAGCTGTTTTGTTCACTAGCAGCAGTAAGTTTTCTGAATGTGTTTTTTACTTCTGATAGGCACACATAAATGGAACAACAGCAGTCAGAGTGAATAAATGTGAAAACAAATTTGATGCATACAAACAAAAGCTTGTCAAACAGTGATGGTAAATCTTCAAGTTTTATTGGAAAAATAAACTTAACCCATTAATAGCTGCAGTTTTTGTAAAAAACTGTGTTTTGAAGCTAGTCGAGCAGATTTCGGGTCACTGTTATGGTTTTAAAAGCTCAAACTTACCACAAACCCATTCACAGCTTGTACGCTTGACTGCCTTTCGATCCAAATGCAAAATGGCGGCCTGAAAATCTCGGGCAGGCGCAGAAAGCAAAATTTCGTTTTTGGGTTGAAAAGTAATGCCCCACTTACGACTTTTACTTTTCTCTCTCTCTCCTGCCCTTTTTTCCCCTTTTCTTGCCTGAATTTTCTCCTCACTTCCTGGAAATTTAGTAGGCTTCATTTTGGTGTGGAGATTTTTTAGGAAACTACTCATTATTTTCAAACCACATACTCAGAAAGGTAGGTGGGTAATGGAACAAGATTTTCGTGCAGATTTTCAGGTCAAAGTTGCGTGGTTTTTTTGGCTATTTCTCCAGTCTCCTTCACTCAGTTGCGCTCATTCTGGAATCGTTTGTAAGGTATTTTCAACCTGTTTAAGTACGTGCTCAAAGTCATGCTCCAGGGTTAAAAGTGATGACATCACAAGGGGTAGAAAGGGTGTGGTTCCACATGGGAGCTTACAGGCACACTGGACATCAATAGGTTAATGTTGCTCATTGGTGTGTTTTATTTCAGGTGAGTCAAAAGACTGAATGTATTGCTCGGTATGTGGCAGATTTGTCCATTCTTCATACAGAATGTGGAAGGTAAGTTTTTCTGTGTGAAATACCTATCAAGCCAGTGGATATCATTCCTTCTTTTCTTTAAAATATTTAAATTTGTTTTTCATTACATTTATTTTAGGTTCTCACCAGCTGTTATGGCTGCATCATCAGTTTTGTTGGCAAATGCAATTCAACAAATTGGTAAGTAAATTGGACAACGTGTTATGTATTTCAGTCACTGACACCATCTCTCATCTTTGTGGTGTACTACTCTTCATCATATTTACAACAACAAAAAAAGGGGCGTCCTGTGTTCTAAATTTTCTCAGCGAAGGGAACACTGCTATTTTATCTCTTGAATTTTAACCCCAAAACTTCACCTTCTCTTAAAAGTACATTCTTCCAACACACTGATTAAAGTGGGCAGTCTTGGATATCTGTAAGTTTTCAAGCCATATAAAGGTGTAGGTAAGGCATCAGACATAAGGGTGCCCTTGAGCTACTAGGCAGGATTCTACAGCTAAATTGTACATACACACACACACACACACACATATATATATATACATACATAGGTTAATTGACCACTCCCCATAGGGGCTTTTCAGGGCCAATTCCCACCCAGGGGAGGACATCCACCACACAGTAATCTCGTGCGTGGGAAATTAACGTCTCCTACCCCTAACCCTGCAGGAGACGGGGCCAACGGTTTATTCGTCCTTATCCGAGAAGACTAGAATATCTATCCATTTCTTGATTATAGAAAGGTAGCAAATTCTCCTCATTTATTTTAAGACCATGAGTATTGTAATGGCTTGAGATAGTTTTTTTTTTGTTTTGTTTTTTTTTCGATGTGGAGAAAATTTTCTTGTTTTTTAGCACCAATCTCCTGCAACAACTTTTTTTAATGAGGCCCGATATTCAAGTATCACTTTGTTCTTTTGCTTCTGGGGAGACCATTGTGTTATTTTTAGTTTGGAGATTATCCCTGAGACCAGACCTCACTTCTAATACAAGCAGTCTGTTACCAGATCACTGTTTTTTACAATATTGTTAAAGGGGAACTGAACCCTAAAAATAAACCATTTTTAAATTGCAGCTTATAGTTCAAATACCAATGTTCGAGGGTTTTTTTCAGTTTTTGGGCCCAACTCCGTCTCGGAAAAATAGTTTAAAGTGGTATTTTGGCCTCGTAGTACGGCGGCTTAGAAAAGCGATGTCAGCGGTCATTTTAGCTCGCTCTTATGTCACTGGTGGGTAAGAAAGATAACTCTTCCTACAGAAATTTGGTTTGGTTATGGAGTTGTCGAAGTTGCGTGACCTGTAATGAGGATTAACTACGAAAATGAAATAGTAATAGTTTTTCTTAAGTTGGTTCCCCGCCACTGACGTCATAAACGACCGCTGCTGACCTATTTTGAGCCGACGGTCTTACAGCCCCAAAAGCGGGAAAAAGGCAACTTCAAATCGAATTTTCTCGTAAAAAAAAAGAAGTGAACGAAAATGAATATCGACACTTTATCTTACTCCTATAAAGCTAACTAGAAATGGATGCAAACAATATACCAATTTTAGGCTTCAGTTCCCCTTTAAAGGATTTTTTTCGTTGTCTTTCCACAACAGCGACTCCATGGGCACCACACATGCATGAAATTACTGGCCTCAGTCCAGCGGATCTTTTGGATTGTACCATTCATTTACACCAACAATGGTAACTTTTTCTTTTTCTGTCCGTTTTGAAGACTACATGCAGTTATTGTTGATCACTGACTGGGTGGAACTAGTAGGAGCAAATTTTGAGTGTCGCAAGACCAAAACGAATGTAATCACAACAGCATTTTGGAAGAAAGGAAAATACCTTCAGAAGCCAATGAGAACTCAAAGTAAAAACAACCAAACTGCTCAAGCGAGGGAAAAGGCGGGCGACCCAATCGTGATTAGATTTAGTTTTGCATCTTATTGGTTAAGCTTGGTGCAAATCTTCTGGACCAATTACGGAGCAAAGTAAAGCAAAACCAAAGTAACGCTGGGACTATTCTCGGTAGGATTGAAAATAGCTATTTTGGTCAATAACTCGTTTACAAAGTATTTCTTGGTACATATTGTTCAGTTGATAAAAGGTGTTTTCAATTCACTTTAGTCTGGTGGATGATTGCCCAACAGATCATAGAAATGTTAAGCTGAAAGCTATTAAACAAAGGTTTGTGCAATGCTCTTGTTTTTGTTTATTTGTTTGTTTGTTAAACTATGAGCAGTCCCTCCTTTTCGGCAAAGTCTGTTGCGCTAGTAAAAAAAAAAAAAAAACCGGCGGAGAAAAAAATTGAAGTGCCTGCGCCGGGCAGACCTCTGGGAATGAAGCGCACGGCAAGAGTTCCGCGCGGCGCGTTAACATCAATTTTTCCTTTTCGTTCTTTTTTTTTTTTTATTCGAGCGGAAAGGAAAGGAGGGAATGCTTGTAGTCTACGTATTGGTGTATTTATCTTTTTGTGTGATATGGTGTCTCCGTTGCATGTTGAAAGTCAGCTGGGTTTTTCGATTGCTTTGTTCTTGTTCTTTTTTTTTTTTTTTTTTTTCAGTTTAGTTAAGTTTCATTTTATTTCTGTGTTTTTGGTTTTAAAACGATCGATGTGCTGTTCTCACCTTGTAGATATTCAGATGAAAGGTTCATGAAAGTTAGCGAAATAAAGGTAAGCTTTCAAGTTCGATCATTTACAAATAATAATGCCGCTATTTCTTTAGCATAGCTATTCGAAAAAAGATATATGAACACTTACCTACTAGAAAGACCCTTGAAGGGTTTAAAATCAGGTTGTCTTAAATTTTTTTTTTTTTGAAAATTTCACCCAGGTTCCCAACCGCGAAGAGTTACGTCGTTGTCTCCGTCCCGTGGTCCTCCATTCCGAGGCGCTCTGTGGAAAACGCTCCGTTTGCGGCCAGGCAGTGGTGAAGCATCCTGGGCATGCGCAGCATCTCAATGCTGACGACAGCATTTTGAATACGAGTATTAGCAGTTTGTCTGAGAGTGGTTACGAGGGCGATATGGAAGATGAAGGTGAACATAACATTGACGATCCCCTTCTTGACGAGGAATTGTTTAGTGAGCTAGCTGATGGTGAACACGCCATGTTAAACAAGCAGTCTAGGGACTCTTCCTTCCTTAAATGGGAAGAGTTTCCGAGAACGAGCTCAACGCCGAGTATTCTTCACCCACCTGGCTTTCAAAATGGATTTGATTTTGAAGTGCAAGACATGGAGACAGACTCAGAACCCGTGAATATAGACAATGGTATTCACAGTGCGCGCGAAGTGTGCGTGCCAGTGGTTCTAGACGCAGATGAAAATATGGAGTTGGGGGAAATTTTTGTTAAACAAGCGGCTTCAAGTCTGGGGCGAAGGCCTTTAAGATGTATCGAGAATAACAACGTCCCCTCTGGAGCTCCTATTTCTTTGAAATCCCAACGAAGAACTTCTGGCTGGAGTAATTCTGTCGCTCAATGAACTTGCCTTTGTGCCTAGTATCTTAGCCTTTTTCTTTATCTTTGCTCTTCCATATGGCTCGAATCCTTTGTTTCCAAGCCTCGGATTTTAAAATTTTACGATTACATGGAAGAATCCTAGTAAAATAATCTCAAGCGTATGTCTGTCGAAAATACAAATCTATTGGTTGTACAGTTTTAACCCCATATATCAATTTTATTCCAACATCTTTCGAGTGAAAATTATATTATATATATTCAAGGAATTATAACCTACATGTTGGCATACTCAACATTCTACAGTCCTCAAGGTTTCTGTTTTTTTTTTTGTTTGTTTTTTTTTCCTCGCACTCTGGACCAGTCCCCAAGTTTGATAACGAAACTAAGAGGACTGATAAGAAAGTTGAAAATGCCGTTATTTAAATTGTACAGAAACAAAAATTGCACATAGTTTCTAATTTATATCTTTTAGAGTGTTGCCGTTTTGGTGTAAAGGCTTGCTAGAAAATTAACGGGAGAATTGATTGCGCAAATGCTTATGGTGTGACTCATCGGAAGTGTCTAAAAAAATAAAGTTATTTCTTTAATATATTTTGAGGATTCTTTGCTTATTTGTGAACCGGGGCTCGACACTAACGGTAGCCAACTAGCCGCAGACTAGTGGAAATTCAGTTTTGTCTGGTGGTTTTCGATTCCACCAGCCAGTTTGGCTAATAAACAAACCGAAATTGTCGTAATATCTGAGATGTCACTAGCCACTTGGCTAGTAAGTTGAAAAGTTGGTGTCGCTGCGAACTTTTATTCCGTTTTCCCGCTTTTGATGCTCTTATAGGTTACTAATCAGTCACTTTTACCCCAAGTGCAATACATATCCACAAGAGAAAATAACGGAACAGAGGGGTAATCAAGGCGTCCGCCGGGATAAGTCAATTACACTTAAGTTGTTTTAAGCTGTGGGCGGAAAAGGAAGTATGTTTCCCCAGAAGTCTACTTTGTTTAGAAGGCCAGAGTCGTGTTTCGCTTATTCGAAAGTTGATTAGAGTGGTAACATGAGTCACGTTTCGCTTTACATTTTGCGTTCTCTTCTACCTTAATAGTAAACCTGATTCGCATATTTGAAACTTACTGAGCCACGGTAAGGAAGCAAGTAGTGGTCGTTACTTCAGAAGATAAGATAGACGTTACTGTTACGCGGACGAATCGGAAATATAAGTGCAATTCCCCTCGACGAGACTATCAAGACATTAGGGACCTTACGCAAACCACGACGGCAACGAGGACGTGGAAAAACAAGAGATCTAATTGGCAGAACAATAGCTCAGCACGTGCGTTTTGAAACTTTGTACATTTCTTAGCCGTCCTATGCAAAACAACAACGTGAAATCGCCAAAATTTGCGTCGTCTGCGAACCGAAACCGCGACGGCAAATTATTTTAATTTCCATTTGGAACTCAACGCTACTTTTATACGTCATGCTGAAGTTGAGCTGTGGCGTCGTATAAGACAGTAAGCTCCTGCAACCATTTTTGAAATTGTAACTAAGAGTAGAAATTCATTATTTAATCGGAGTCTTCCTTAGCGTTGCCGTCCTGATTGCGTAAGGTCCCTATTGGTTAAAAGTCTGCGCCAGAGCAAACATGGTGTGGATAGATGTACTCTCAGGCTGCAGGGACCGTTCTATCTCACAGAAGTTAAAAAAAAAAAAGAAAGCCACAAGCCGAAAAGTCATAATTTTTTTAAAATCGTATAACTTTTGATATAGCTCGAAACAGAATCGAAAATCAACAGGATAAAGAGTAAGCTTTGTGCTCAAAAAGTCTCGAATTTTCCTTTCCCAACTTATTTTTCCGTTTTACAGCTTTCATGGCGTTTCAGCGGTTTTTTGTCAGGTTTCATCTGAAATTTTTCGCAGGAGATTGGCGCATGGGCGCCGCAAGAATTGACCCCCTTGGAGTATTCGGACATTTTGATTGCTGTGTTGGCAGTTGCTAATCAAAGGCGTATGGATCTCTTGTTTCGCCGGTCATGTGATTCAAGGTGAGATGCAAGGTAAAACGTTGGAATGTCACCGTCACTCGAACTGGGTGGAATGTTTCTTTCGTCATATACTAGTAGAAATTGTGCACGAGAAATTGTGCTGGAGTTTTCCTTGAAATGGCAATTTCTGCAATACCGACGAATTACTGCGTGTAATAATAGTTCACAAAAATGCCTGTCTCGCAACATTCTAATGATCCTCGCTGTATATAAATAGAAATGCACATAACGTTCTTACTTTCATCTCAAGTGAAACTATCGCAGAATGAATGTCAGCGATACGAAATCAAAGAAATGTCGATGGCTTCGTTTCAAGATCCCTTGTTGCAAACTCGGCCGGCTGAACTGTTCTTTCACGGTACGTCTAAACCCAGTTGTTTCTCTACTTTCCGCCCTCATTATCTGGGGTTTTGTCGTATGGTGTGTGTTAGAGGCGAAAGCAGTCAACGAGGAGATGGTCGAATGGCGAAGGTGGATAACTTTGAAATGCACCTGGCTCTACATCGGAACTCAAGACGCGTGGGCTTTGTTCATTATTGTGCTGTATTTCTCCAAGTATTCTAAGATGAAGCTAGGCAAATCGCAAGAGAAACCAGAATTCAACGATGCGACTTATTTTACAATGTTGTTCGCTGCTGGTATCGGAATTGGTCTCTTTTACTATGGAGTAGGTAAGCAGGTGAAAAATCTTTTATCGGCGGGAAATATGCTTTTTACGATGATTGTGTGTCAATGTGATGCATGCTGTACCATAGAGCGTTAGTTAAAGAAGTTCACTTACTTTATTCTACCATTTCATCTCTTTACAAAAGCGGAACCCATTTGGCATTATGCTCCTGGACATTATGGAAATCGTTATTATGCCAGGTAAGTGCCCTCTCGAGGAGATTAAGACGATGCTTGTGGTACTAGACTAGTGCGGCTAGGAAAAAAGTAAGGCAGAGTTCCAGATAACTCCCTACATTAATCATGCATAGAGTGTTGAAAAGAAACCATTATATTCAGTCTTTATATATGAAATGAATGCATAATTGATGTATGGGGTTATATAGAACTCTTTCCACGACCCATGTCGTGACGCGTTCAGTAACTTTCCTGACTCAATTCCCGCTCACCGTACTATGTCATGCTTCCGCTTTGTCTCCGCGTTATAGGCTAGCAAAAAAAGACAGCTTGTTGTCTAATGCCCCATTTACATCAGCAAAACGTATTTAGTTAAACCTGATTTAAATCAATAAAAATCAGACGCAGAGAACTGAACTTAAAAGCTGAATTTTCCATCAGGCTTGTATTTTTTTAATGTGCTAAATTTGAAGTCGACAAACACTGGTTCTGAGTAGCTTCTATGAAAAAAAAAAATTTAAACGGTGTTTTACAAAACAGCTTTTAAACATGTTTAAGCTTTGGTGTGAATAGAGTATAAATCAAATATACATTTTGGTACAATTAGCCGTAAAGTCGCAATCTGATTGGCCAATTTGCCGTTGTAGATAAGAGTACGGACAACGCTTCTCGCGTCAACTGGTCAGGCAAAGGTCACGCACTGAAAAATCGTTTTATTTGACGTCGATATTGTGGTCTGTACTCTTTTCGACGACGATATTCGTCATCACAGTGGTCAACATTTGTTGCAGACTCACGAGTATACACGAGGCGCAGCCGAGTGAGTCTGCAAAAAAATTTTGACCACTTTGATGACGAATATCACTGTCGATAAGAGTACAGACCACGCTAAACCACTGTCGATGTGTTGAACTTTCCCTTAGGTATTCCGACAACCAGCAGGCCCAGGATGCCATGAATCTCACGTTCTTTCACTGGGGGATTCACGGATGGATTGTATACGTGGTGGTCGGACTTCTCCTCGCCTTCCTTAGCTACCGAAAGGGTCTTCCAATGACAATGCGATCCTGTTTCTATCCTCTGCTAGGGAACAGAATATTCGGTTGGATGGGTGACTTCATCGACATCCTATCGGTGGTGTGTACCATGTTTGGGGTCTGCACCAGTCTTGGTCTCGGCGCAATACAACTCAACGCTGGTTTCAGACGACTCAACCAAGACATCGCCTTCAGCACTACCAATCAGATCATCGCCGTCTGGGGTGTAACGGCCTGTGCAACTCTATCTGTCATCAGTGGCTTGAAACTTGGCATCAGACGGCTAAGCGAACTATGTTTTGGTATCAGTATACTACTGATGTTGATAATTTTGTTCTACGATGATACGTGGTATCTGCTCAACCTGTATGTTCAAAGCATTGGATACTATCTTCAGTTTATTGTACAGATTGGATTCCATACAGATGCTTTCGCACAACTCGGCAATTCCCCAGATAAACTCGAAGCTACTGAGTGGATGAACGACTGGACTATCTTTTATTGGGGTTGGTGGATTGCTTGGTCCCCTTTTGTTGGAATGTTCATCGCGAAGATTTCACGAGGCCGGACAATCAGGGAATTTCTCAATGCCAGCCTCACTGCGCCTATCTTCTACTCTTTTCTGTGGCTCACAATTTTTGGCGGAGCAGGAATAAGAATGGAACGAAACGCAGCCTTGGCAAATATCACCTGTTCATCGCCATTTGGAGGAAAAACTGCCACACAATCATTTCAAGGCTTTTACCGACTGTCCTGTCGCGCAAAGAATGACATGTGGTTCGACCTAATGGACCAGTATGGTGACCTTGGAGACTTTCTGTCCATCGTGTCCTTAATTGGTATAATCCTTTACTTTGTCACCAGCTCGGACAGTGGCTCACTGGTCATAGATTGCCTCTCTGCCAACGGTGATCCAGACCCTCCCATCCCCCAACGTGTCTTTTGGGCCTTGACAGAAGGTGCTACCGCAACAGCTCTGCTGTACGCTGGAGGAACAGGTGCTCTGAACGCCTTGCAAGCAGTTTCCATTGTGGCTGGCCTCCCCTATACTATCTTGTTGTGCTTCATGTGTGTGGCATTGTGGCGAGCTGTTCAAATGGAAGATGGCGACTTGGACCCAAATGGTCCACAGTTCAGCGTATGTGTGTTCCATCCGATCTCACGACCTTCCTGTGAAGGATTTTTCAAACTTCTCCTCGCCATTGTTGCTCCCTGGTACGTGATAGCCATTGCAACAAGCAGGAAGGAGGGTAGTTGCCCCATAGCTATGGCCTGTCGCATGGTCCTCATGGGTGTGCCATTTTATTCCTGGATAGCCATGATGGTGGCAGAGCTGATTCCGGTGGAAGGAATCTCTTATGTCGGATGGGCGGCTCTTGTTTTGTTCTTTGGTGTAGCCACGGCCATCCGAACGGGAATGAGGTTAGAGGATGGAATACATGGTAACATGGTAGAGGATTTCTTTGTCGTTATGTTTCTGTACCCATTTGCAGCTTTCCAAATGGATCGACACACATTGAAATACCAAATGAAGAGTAATGTTGGAGTCGTAAAAACGGGGGAGGCCAGCCACAATCTCTGGTCTGTAGTCGTCAAAGATGATCTATCAGAAACAACCGGCTTGTAAAAGCCATGAAAGTTTTGGAGACAGATAAAAGAACTAAAGCGCTTGGACTACGTAAATTTTTTTGAACATCGTTGGCATGTTCAAAGCAGTGTAAATAAGTGTATAGTCTGTGTATTGAACACGGGACGGCGACGTTCTTTCAAACAGAGGAACAGAAATAAACAAATATACTTTGTTTTCATATTTACTTAATCGAAGTTTTCACCGCGGTATTGTAAGGGTGTGATTATTTGTAAGGCTGGTACTTATGACGACCCAGAAAGCGGATGGTCGGTGTGAAAGAGTAATGACATCGCAGATAATAATATTATGGACAAATGTAATGTGTGGCGATGGATTTGATTTTAAAATTTGAAAATCCTGCGCGTTCTTTAAACAATTGTGTGATACATAAATGTGTAATCCAGTAGAAAATAAAGTGTTGGACGAAAGCTCTCCCTTACCTCTATATTTTGAACAAAGGCAGTGCTCAATAAAAAAAAAAGTGCTTAAGTTAACAATAGCTGAAATTATGTATCGATACGAAGCAACACTAATCAAGAAAACGGCCAAACTGAGAAAAGGAATTTCGAACATATTAAACTGCCTCGAAGCCAGAACAATTAAACTGCCTCGAGCGGAAAACTCGAGTAACAAAGTCCATGTATTTGTATTGGTTGTGCATCTGATTGAATAAGAAGTATTGTACGAATTTTCAAGGCCAACTGGAGCAAAACCATTGCATTACCAAATCGATTCCTTTTCACGGTAAATTTTAAATTGCCCTTGAGTATTGTGACGCCTTGCTTAGTCATACCTTAGGGGAATCTATACTTTTATTGCTATTATCCCGGTGCTTCGCGTTTGACTTTTCTAAGCTCTCGACTGAAAGCTTTGCGCATGTTAAATCTTTCATTTGAATCAAGGGCAAGCAGGCAGTTTCAATCACGTGGTTAGATACCACCACCTTTTCCCGCAAAAATGAGAATGACAGATTTTGGGCTTTGTGCGCTGTTTTTTTTTTTTTTTTAATGAAGTAGGCGTTGCCTTGGTTTATTTTTCGTAATATGACCCAGCTAGTTGGCTTTTCTGCGAGGTTCACGTGCAGGTTCGTTGACAGATAAACGCGTTCTGTCAGAACACAAATGCAAATGAAATAATTTCATTCTCCAGTTACACACTGTAAAATTTTTAATGGTTTTAAACTGAGCCTGATGATTCGAGGAAATTTCCTGCTCCCCCAGAGGTACTGTCAGCTGATATCTACAGTGGTGCTTACCACCAAAAGCCCAAATTTATGGGGAACAAAATACTTAAAAGAGAGTTTGAGGAATGGATGTTTGCCAACGCGATGTTTCCAGTCTGAAATATAGAGGAGATGAACGGTTTTCAAAGCCGGAAACCAAGAGTTCTGCCATGACAACTTGGAAGATGAAAGAAATATATTGGTCTAAAAATAAGGAGGTGGAATATTCAAAGATGGGATAATGGAGGACCTATTTCTCAATCCTGCAAATTTGTTGGGAAATACGGTAGCAAATGAGATGTCCATGTTGGGTAGCCTGTTGGGTAGCCTGTTGACTTACTTGTAAAATTTTAAATGATGTCATTTAATAAGCCTTATTATTATATGGCTGTGTCTCACAAGGACTGGAAACTACCGAATTCACGAATTTGATTGGCTGAAATCAATATTGAAAGCGGTCTAGATTTTCCCATCTAGACCGGCATCTAGACCGGTCTAGAAAAAAAAAGGTACAAAGAATATAAAAAATTGGCATATAAGACACAGCCATATAATAAACATCTTATTAACCGAGCTAGGTCGGTCTGTATGGGAGAATCTTGACCTCGGTCGCTGGTACAGACCTCACTGCGTTCGGTCTGTACTGGCGACCTCGGTCAAGATTCTCCCATACAGACCTCCCGCTCGGTTAATAAGAACTAATCCAAACAGTTTCTTTCGAAACTATCAGCCTTTATTCATTTATCTATAAACAGAAGACTCGAAACCAACCGGAGACCGAAGATTTATGACCCACAACTAAAATTAAGCGCGCTATACTTTGTGAAGCGTTGAAATACATGTTATTGATAGGGTCCTCGTTTGTAGGAAAAGCTTTGTTCCAACTACAAAACAAAGACCATCGACTGAATGGTTTCCGGGCGTCCAAATATATCATGTAGAAAGGGGTTCGTTTATTGGAAGGCCTTGTGGACGTGTATACAACAAAACATAGTGAGTAATATTTATTTTGTGACCCCAGAAGCGTTTTAACCAAAGGTCTCGTTTTGGTGCTTCAGTCTGCTTTTTCTACGAAACAAAGACCCTATCAATAACTTGTAGTCAGACTCTCCTCAAAACGTAGTAGCGACGTACCAACCACCAGCCGCGCCACCAAATCACGAGAGCCAAGACCATAATTCTGCTATGGCAACCCTTTTAATCGTGAGATCGGCGCGCAAGTTTACGCATTTAGTCAAAGTATTGCACGTCTTTGTTCCTTTCTAACATCTCGTCCTCTTTTTACTAAAATGTATGTTTCTTCATAAGTTCTGCTCGCGCTAGGCTTTTCCCACCTTATACCTATGAATCTCTTCGGCGCTTGCCGTTATTTAAGAAATTTCCTACAATTCTACCTTTATTGTTAAAGGACTACGGCATTTCCTGCCTTAGTGGCCTTAGGGAATTTCTCTTTCCTCTATTTTCTATATATTTTGTATGTTTGTATAATAATAGTCGTTATTATATGGCTGTGTCTCACAAGGACTGGGAACTACCGAATTCACGAATTTGATTGGCTGAAATCAATATCGAAAGCGGTCTAGATTTTCCCATCTAGACCGTCATCTAGACCGGTCTAGAAAGAAAAGGAACAAAGAATATAAAAAATTGGCATATAAGACAGCCATGTAATAAACATCTTATTAACCAAGCTAGGTTGGTCTGTATGGGAGAATCTTGACCTTAGTCACTGGTACAGACCTCACTGCGTTCGGTCTGTACTGGCAACCTCAGTCAAGATTCTCCCATACAGACCTCCCACTCGGTTGATAAGAACTAAAGAGTGACCAGCATCTAATTTCTCCTTACAGTAATACTACAGACTAGGAGAATAAAGAAAAGGATCACCAGCCTAAGATGCTTTGATTTTCAGACAAATTCTCCTTGTCACTACCAAAAGGTATTGTATTGAGACAAGTATGGAGAATGTGGATGCTGATATTTGGGTGTAAGGGGTTCATTAATAGACTAATTTCAAGGCTGTGCTCTAAGGAAAATTAAATGGAGCCCAGTGCTCTGAAAATTTGAAATCTAGGGTGCCCAGCATATGCTTTGTATGAAAAACTAAAAATTCCTGAGTCATCCAAGAGCAAATGTAAGGCACCAGGGGCCACCAGGGGCCACCAGGCGCTGCTAGACCCCAGCCTTGAAATTTAGTAGCAACCTAAAACAAAAACATCTCTTTGAGTATCTGCAATAAACTCCAATTCTCATCCTTAAGAACTTTGGTTGTTATTTTCTCCCCAGAAAATATGCTCAGGTTGGCAAATACATGTGTCTGGTGATAAATCATCATTTTTCATGTTCAAATCAGATTGTCTTTCAGGAAGCCTGTGTTGGAAAAATATTTAATAGTAAGCTTTGACTGTCATTCAAAGTTAGGAGCTATTAGTAAAATTTAGTTTAACTCTTTCCAAACCTAATTCACAACGTTTTATTATAATGTACTATTTATCCTATATTTTTGATAAATACAGCAGGAACAAGAATGAGTTTTGATAAAAACAAGTATAAAAATAAAAATAATAATTCCTTAAACATTTAGGGTTGTGGATGGGATAAAATAATCTTAGCTACAAATTAAGTTTTCACTAAGTTTTTCACTTTACAGATGCCACAACCATATCATACAGTCCATTTTAACACAGTCAAATATTTGCCTCTTAGATTTCTGCCTTTTCACACAACTCTAAGTTAATAATTTTGAGGAAGACTCAGTTTTCATCAGATGGAGGAGGGGTCCCTCCTGGTTCATTAACCTCCACAGCTTTCTCACCATTTTCAACATTTTCTGTTGTAGATTGGGCAGCCCCTGTATGTGCCAATTCATCTTCCACATATGCATACTCCACAGGCTTGCTGCCTTTCCTATTTTTTTTCCCAATATCAGAAACAACCTTCCATATAAAGCTTCCATGTCGGCGCCCTCTTATTGGCTGACTTGGATCCAATCTTGAGTTAAACTGATGTTCATAAGAGATTTTCTCTACAACTTTTGGTGTTGTAGGTCCTGTTTTATCTGCAGCTTGAGGAAGGATTCCAGAAGCCCCTGCTGGTACCAGCTGCAGGGCAAGATTACTGCTATACCTAGTTACTCTTTCATGGAAAAGTGGTGGAGGACGGTAATCTGAACGTGCAGTTGAATCAAAGCTTTTTTGAGGGATGCTAGTGGATTTTTCTGGTAATTCTTCTGGCCACCATGATGGGTATGTCACTGGAGAATCTACAGTGGTCTTCACATAACAGATTGGCTCACAAATAAATCGTGGATTTTGGCGCAAAAAAGTCACCTTAGCGGGGTGAGGTTTATTGTTTGGCACTGATATTTTATTCTGTCGAGGGGATAAAATTGCATGTCCAATATAATGTGCACCATAGCTTGTTTGACCAGGTGAATGATTAACTTGCAGATCAGCAAAAACCCTGGAGGTGTCATGACTGCAAATAGAAAAAAAAACATGAAATTGAAAACAAAAATCATACCCACACATAGGCATAACACACCATTGACCCTTTAACTCTGAAGAGTGACTGCCTCTAATTTCTCCTCGCTCTACCATTCTTGAATCAAATGCACAGGTCATGAGAATAATGGAAATCGTGAACCCAATTTAGGAAGACTTTTATTGTCTAGCAACTCCTCTTTGTCAGTACCATGAGAAATGTAAAGAAAACAGTGTGAAGAACATGAATACCAATGTTACTGTGTTAAGGGTTATCAGTGCCACAAAAGATGTGGAAATATAGTTATTAGTATCTTGCAATCAAAATTAAAAGATTATAACTATTCCACAGCTTTTAACCTACTTCCCAATTTTTGTGAAGAGTTTGTATCAAAAAGTATCTCCATTTATCTTTTATGTTCAAGACATAATTATCTTATCTTCGTAATTATAATCATTATTGTTAATTATACATTAACTATGATAGCTTTTTTACTAGATTTCATTATATATTAACAATTTCATAATTTTTATATTCATCATTATTTGCTCCAGACAAGTGAAGGACTAAGATATGGGTAGAAAGAATATGGCCAGGAATTTTTCTGTCCAATATGCGCGAACTCATCCAAGAATTTGGAACATTTTTTCGCGTCAAGCAACCTTTTCTTTACACAACTGGAAATTTATCTAAAATTCTACTGGATCGAAAGGAAAAACAAAAATGAAGTCGACTCTCAATCCTTAAAACTGCGACACGCATGTAACAACGAGAAAAGATTTCCACAATTTATTCCAACAACAAAATCTAAGCTACAGCCCGTATTTCGAAATAATGGAGAAAACAAAATTAATGAGCTTAATTAATTAGCATGCCATGAGCGAAAATAGCAAAGTACAGTATAGAGTTACGACTGGCATGAAGCCTGAGTTTCACCTTAAAAAAGGATATTTTCAAGACCTAAAGGCGTTTTATGTGACTATGACTGTTAACTATTGTCACGCTAAGATTTCATAGCAAAGGCCCTTGCACGCTAAATAAAAAACCTCGATTTGTTTGGGTACAGCACTGAGGAGAATCAAAAGGTGCGCAATTGCGCCAAAATTAGACTTTTCGTAAGCTTTACCTCACCTTTCAACTGCAACTTGAGATCTAAAACTAACAATTTCTAAATTGAAGATGAATGGTTTATTACCAGACCACAAACAGCTCTATTTACCTTTTGAATCCAAGAAGATTTCACACTGAATAGATTAAATATTTAGGAAACGTTCAAAGTCAAACTCACCGTGGGTAGCCGTCTACCTTCTTTTTGCGTGCGATCGGAGGCAAATAAATGCTTGCCATCCTAGTTTTTTTTTTAGTGGACAATCTCGAACCTCAAGTGGATATTATAGCAAATAAATTCATAGTAAACTCTGGATTGTTTGGTTCCAAAACTAAAAGTCACTTCAGCTATTCCTGATTACCAGACGTCGTCCCGGTAACCAGGTGACTTCCGCTAAACATACCGCTGGCTCAAAGAAAACAAAATGGTGGTTCTTAGGGCACAAGTGATTTTTGCAGGTGAGAATATAAATTTAGCTTTTAATTATCGAAGCTTTGCTTTATCCTAACATTAACCGGTATTTTTATATTCATTTTATTAATTCAAAGCGTGTGTTTATATTGTTGGTCATCGTTTCTATGTCGATGTGGTGTATCAGTAACAAATCAATTTGTTAAGCAAGCTATGTAGTCGTAGGAATTTTGTTCTGTTTGCTACATCGAAAGAGACGGTTTGCGCGCGGATTCCTGCGATAAATAGATTGTATTTCTGTTTTACAGGTGACCCATGTGTGGGTAAGAGCGCCCTAACACAAGCATTTCATAGTGATGGTACACACTTTCCCAAAAATTATACAATGGTAAGCGTTCTCTACAGTTTATGTTAAGAGAGGATTAACAACTGATCACGAGAGACTGAAATTATTCCCCAAGTAGGCCTTATTAGTGAATTAATAACTCTTGAGCTATTTTGGGGCTCGAAGTACTTGGTCTTGGGATAATGATGTTACACACGCTTCACGAATCGCATAAGTATTGTGTTGGAAAAGGAACAGGTGCTGCACGGATCATTTGAGTGAAATTTTTGTCAAGGGATTGATTCATTTCTCAATGCAAATGGAAATTATGAAGATTGTGCATGTAAGGTACGAGCAACAAGGTCTGTCAAGGATAGTCCATCCTGTTTACTGCTTAATTCCCTTTATAACCGATCCTCTTTTAGGGAAGAAGGAAAGCCTGTGTGCCATGGCTGGTTTTCTTCCTTATTGTTTGTTTTTTTTTTTTTTGGCTGGATTCTGGGTTGAAAACTAAGATAAGCTGCAAAATATGGCCCAGTCTGTATCATATGCAAATGAATAAAGGCTGACAGTTTCTAAAGAAACTGTTTGGCGCTGCATTGGTGGGGGTAACGAAATAATTTGAATATATCAACAAAGTTGAAATGGTAAATTGGCCACGGATACAGTTATAAAAGCTGATGTTTCAATCGTTAGCCCTTCGTCAGAGTGAATAGAGGAATTGTGGGTTGTGTGTGCTTTTAAAGGCAGAAAATAGAGCTACAGTCTGTATCATATACAGACTGTACCCTAACATAATTGTAGATAATGAAATTTTGTTCATCTTTTTCACCTCATGTTAAAATTAACTGGTCGTAACTTATTTTCAGACAGCTGGGGTGGAAGTGTGCATTAAGTCTGTTAACATCCCAGAGACTTCTGACAGTGTGGTAGGTTTTTTATTTTTATGGGAGAAATTGATTTTAATAGACTAAAATTTGTAACCAAATTAGAGAACCACCTGGTCTGGATTTACCCAAGTCAATGAAAAATCTATTTATTAGGAAATCCTTTAGAACATAATGTTTCTTTAGCTAGACCTTTGAGTCCTAATAGTGACTAGCATCTAATTTCTCCTTACAACATCACTGCTAAAACTCACATCAGTGTCACTAGAATGACTTAACTTGACTTAACTTTATTTACGGTGGGAAGCACAATAACCTATTACAGTTTTCTAACCTGCTGCCTTCATACCCACCCACCCCACCCCAGGGGAGAACATCCACCACACAGTAATCTCATGCGTGGGAAATTAATGTCTCCTACCCCTGCAAGAGACAGGAATAAGGGAAATGATCACCAGTTAAGAGCTCTTGATTGTTAAATAAATTCTCCTTGTCAGCACCAAAGGAAATGTATAGGGAACAGTATGGAGAATATGCATACTGATGTTAGGGTGTTAAGGGTTAAGAGAGATTCCAGACTGTTCACTTGAATGTTTGTTCTTCTCTAGGAACTCTACATTTATGACTCTGCAGGGAAGGAAATGTTTGCTGACATAGTGCTACAACATGTGGGTACCATACATAATCATGAAAGTAGACAATTTATTGTATTTTAAATTTAAAGTTATTATTGATGTGTGTACGGTAGGTATAATTTTAGGCCACATAGGACCATGCTAGCTGTATGTGTATTGACTGAACCTAGTTAAAAACAATTTTGAGTTACTAGACTGTGACACAAAGTAGGCAGCATGAGGGGATCATCAATGTCATGCTTCCGTGTTTTTTCATATTAGAGAGTGAAATACACACTCTGGTTACTGGCTTATTTTGACAACCCTGCCAACTGTGATCTCCATGCTCCAGTGATCACAACTAAATAGGGACCTTAAGCAACCACGACAGCGATGGCAACGAGGATGTGGAAAAACAAGAGATCTAATTGGCCGAACAATAGCTCAGCACATGCGTTTTGAAACTTTGTACATTTCTTAGCCGTCCTATGCAAAACAACAACAACGTGAAATCGCCAAAATCTGTGTCGTCTGCAAACCGAAACCGCGACCTCAAATTATTTTCATTTTCATTTGGAACTCAACGCTACTTTTATACGTCATGCTGAAGTTGAGCTGTGGCACCGTATGAGACAGTAAGCTCCTGCAGCCAATTTTGAAATTGTAACTAAGAGTAGAAATTCATTTTTTAATCGGAGTCTTCCTTGGCGTTGCCGTCCTGACTGCTTAAGGTCCCTAATATGTGGTTTTATTGTTCCTGCAGTGGACACAGCCAGACATGTTTCTTGTGGGCTATGACGTGACCAATGAGCAGTCATTCAATGCCTGTAACAAGTGGTATGAGAGATGCCGAGCAAAAAAAGCAAATCAAAATTTGCCAGGTGAGACCCTGAAATTTGCATACAATTACCAAACTAAAGGAAGCCTCAACTTGTGGAACCAGCTGTAGTTAAACTGAACCAGATGAAAATTTCTTGTACTCATTAGAAAAATAAGAAGCAAGAAACATAATGTTTAAAAACTAGAAACACATTTTTGTTAGATGGTGGCCAAAAAAGGAAGGCAACATTATGGTAATGCTTAACCTAAAAAAATTGTTATTTGATTTTAAGGTGCCCTGGTTGCCATCAAAACAGACCTGAAACAAAGACGGGTGATAGTAACAAAACAAGGGAGAGATCTTGCCAGTTCGAAAGGGCTTGAATACTTTGAGTGCTCTGCTGTAAGTAATGTCTTCTTGTATGCTGAAAATTAAGCATCTTAGACTATTCTCCTTACCAATTCCAAAGTTTTAAAAGGAAAATCTCTAAAACATGAAACTACACGTCAAGGAATTGATACCACAGCTCACATAAACATCCTTCAGTAAGTCAGAGCAATTTTCAACTGAGTGTCAAAAGTAATCTGTGACTGCTTTACTTCACTCGGTGATTGGTCCAGAAAACTTGTGCCATTCTCTTAGCTAATCAGATGTAAAACTAAAACCAATCACAACTTAGCTGCCTGTGTTTTCTGATGCTATAGGATATTTTTCTTTCTTCTGACATTCAGTCAAAAGCCATTTATGAGATAATTTCACAAAGTTCCCCTTTAACCAGCCATTGTTTCAGCCAAGAAAATGTTATCAATTTTATATTCTTGATTTAGAACAAATTTTTAAAGATTTTTTATTTTAATAGCAAGAATTGCTGTGATTTGGAATTTTCTGTTTGCACTGTTGAGATAAAGTGCTTCTTGCCTTGGTGTGTATTTTCCCCATGATTCTATCAGTCATAAGCTTCTACCTGAAGTATCGTTCCTCTCTTAGTACTATACTATCCTTTCAATCAACTTTCAATTCTCAAACTTTGTTTCCCTAGAACAGCTTTTTTTTCTTCTATTTTTCTAGAAAGACCATGAGAATGTGGAAGCCCCATTTTACTACTTGGCCAAAGAGTTTCACAATCTTTACATAGAAAAAGTTGAACAGATGAAGACATTGACGTAAAACTTTTCTTTTAGTTGTGAGCTTTTCTCAATAAGAGAGAGGGTCAATCTTGTCATTGCACAAATTTTGTTTAGTCAGAAAAACCGTTCCTGAAAATGGAAGTGTGTGGTAAATGTGTTTCTTCAACTCAAGGGACTTACATCAGGATGTAGCATATTGTAAATATTTCAGCCCAATCTTTTGAAGTTCTTTTTTTTTTTTTTTTTAATTTGTGTTTCTCTTTTCCATCCTTGATAATCTAGCAGTCTCTTATGTTTTTCACCTAACCTAAGGCAATGCCCTTGGCTTTTAAAATGCCTCTTGATGTATTTAACAAATATTAAACAAATGTAGTTGTTTTATATGATAAAAAAAAAGTAAAATGTTGTTAATGGTGACATCATGTATGTGTCTGTCCTCGAATGGATCATAAGTAAGAACTGATGGAAATGCAAAGGTGCGTTACTATTTCAGCACAATTTTGTAAGCTCCAAAGAGATCAACAGAAACTCTTATAAAAGAAAAGCAAAAAGTGTTGACCCCACAAATACAAAAACCTTAAGATAGCTTTAGTGATCATTGTTTAAAAACGTTTCTGTGATTGGTCACATACTTGGGATATCTGACATCTGCATGCTTCACCCTTTCACTCATTAGGAATTTTCCTTACCATCTGCCATACAATTCTTAGAATGTTAGTTCAGAGAATTTGGTATATTATAACTAATAATCCCCTAATAGACTTTTTTGTTTATTCTCACCACTTGTCTGCTTGATATTGTATTGATATTGTAAGGAGAAATTCAGTCTTGCTCACTCATGGGAGTTCAAGGGTTAATAGTTTGGACCAGTTTGAACCACCGTAACATGGTGCAGTATAATAAGCAGTTTCAAGGAATAATATCATTCAATACCTTTCACCTATCCACAAACCTCTTTCTCCATAGTAACAACATACATAGGTTAATACATACATACATAGGGAAAAATTGACCACTCCCCAGAGGGGCTTTTCAGGGCCAAATCCCACCCAGGGGAGGACCATCCACCACACAGTAATCTCGTGCGTGGGAAATTAACGTCCCCTACCCCTAACCCTGCAGGAGACGGGGCCTACGGTTTATTCGTCCTTATCCGAGAAGACTAGAATATCTATCCATTTCTTGATTTTAGAAAGGTAGCAAATTCTCATCACTTATTTTAAGACTATGAGTATTGGTCCGGCCGGGGCTCGAACCTCGACCTCCCGCACAACACAGTCCGTTGCTCTAACCAATTGAGCTAGCCGGGAGGCGGTTACCTCTCAAACATACCACCTGAACGTACTGCTTAGTAGCTTTCATTTGAATGGTTTCACACTGAGCCTGTTTCAGGTGAGTACAACCAAGCGCGATAGTAGCAGAGGAGTACAGAAAAGAGGGAGGCTTGGGTTGAGCTTGGAATGAGAACTGTTCTCTGGGCAACCCGACCCCAACCTCCCTTGTTTGCGCTCTGCTGTTACTATCACGCCATTTACTTATTTCTCTTGGTATTTTCTCTAAAGGGATTATTGGTTGATCCGATACCAAAATTCTCTAAACTGACATCATACGAATTGAAGAGCAGACAGTAAGGAGAATTATGAAGGAGATCTTGGAAGTGAAAAGGTTAAGTTACATTCACCTTGTAGATCATAATAAACAGGGCCAAATGAAAGTAAAGCTTAGTAGGGTTTTTATCTTTCTCAGTGGATTGTTTTGCGAAAGTATCAGAGTATTGAAGGAAGAATTATGTTACTAAATGAATGACACAGGTATACTCTGAGAAAAAGAACTCTGCGTGCTCCCAAAAGGAGTCGAACCTATACGACCTTCCGAATACTACTTCGAACCCTCTACCACTGTGCTATAGAAGACTCGTGACATGCTGGGCCGTTTAGCTAGGTCAGTGATGGCAAAGTTCCTGCACACTGCTTGGATGTATAGGAATGTCGATAAGTGATGCTTGTGCGCGATGATGATGTTAATGAAGATGTTGAATTTTACGCATGATGTTGTTTAGTGAAAGAAGACGATATTCAGTGAATGACACAGAGTATTATTGAACATGATAGAGATATAACCATGCGCAAGCAGGGCGACACGTTATAGTGACAATCTGAAGACTAAGTCGTTTATTTCTTGCAGTAGAAACCATAATATACCTTTCCTTCAAATGTACAAGCAAAGAAATGATCCCCTCCGCGGACTACAATTTTAGCAACAACAGAAGAGAAGACTGGAGGCTCCCAATGTAAGCTCAGTTGGTGGTGACAGTAAAAAAATAAATATACGAAAAAAGAGGCCAGAGCCCAAACTCCGTAGAATATATGTGTTCAACTTGTTACAACAACATTTGGCTAAAATGAAAAAAACTCCGAAATTAACAAATTTGCGTGAACGAAAAAAAAAACAACAAAAGTACGCGAAAAATGTCCACGTCAGTTTTCAATGTCAAGGTTAGAGTTCTTCGACGTGATTAGCTAATTTGTGAAATCAAGCGCGCTGCGCGTGAATACAAAAATAATACGAAAAAGGGGAGAGGAAGAAAGAAATTGCAATTTGAAATTCAAGAAAAACAGAGATTTTCTAGATTAACGGCCAACTAGTATCTGAGAGGCACGGATTTGAATCCTGTCGAAGCCTGAATTTTTTCAGGCTTCTTTTCTGAAATTGCTGGAATTGCAGTTCACCCACGAAGGTCATTTCTTTGCTTGATTTTCATTTGCAGGTCAAGTTAAATTATTTCGTTACCGGGCCCATAGCCAGAAAAAATTTCCAACCGAGGCACTATTTGGCTATTTTAAAAGATGCCATAGAATCGAACTTTTACAATCGAATTTGTGATTCTGACAATAGCCAACACTGCGCTGTCAATCAAATATTGGACTAGTAAATTATCTTTTTTAATCGGATTTTAATGTAGGCAGAATTCGCCCTTTTCCCAAGACATAAACGAGGCGAAAAAAAATTAAGAAATTTCAACCGAGGCAAGTCCCTCGATTCCCCTCTTACTGGCTATGGGCCTGGTTACAAGTCTTATGGGCCTGGTTACAAGTTGTTAGAAGAGTGTTTACGATCTCGTCAGGACAATATCTTATGTGTTTAGATAGTGTTTGTTAAAAGGTGGTAAGAGAAGATAAACATCGAATCGAACTAATTCGTTTGGTATGTTAAAATAATTTTTCAGAGACAAACACGAACAATTTAGCTGACAAAGACCGATCGTTAAATAACCATTGCGCCGTGAAAGGAGAGACGGTAAATACATTTTTTCTTCAGTTATCGGCGTTTTAATAGACTTTCTTAAATATTCTTCATCGTGTTTTGAAATAACAGTATTTGAAATCAAAACAATCCTTATCTCTATTAAACTTTGAAGTACTTCGTTATCGTTTTGAAGAAGAATGGGTCCTAATCATTTGTTGCCAGTATGATAACGATTTCGCTTTAATCCTCTGAAAGAACCCCACTACATTATTTATTCTATTTTTCGGGACTTTATTTTACTTGAAATAGATACCGTCTGACGAAGATTTAAGTTTTGACTACTTTTTCCAGAGCGTCAGCTCCATGATTGCTTTAGCTTGTGTGAGGCAAAGTTATTAGCGATAATTTATTCGAACAACTTGACTCTTTCGGTGAAGGATTAAAACCTCAGTCGTTGAATCGTACCTCTAAACTGATTTATGAAAACATCAATTCTTGTTTTGAGAAACAGTAATTACTTGCAGGTGGCCAAATTTCCGCTTTGTTTTTTGTTTTTCACATTTTGGAAGAAAAAGAAAAACTCCAGGGATTATTTTCTTCATTAAGATTCGCTATTAAATTATCTTGGCTAATCCATTTGTTGTTAGCAACGTGGTGTTATTGTGTTCCCATTGGTTATCGCATGGTCGTATCAAGAACTTCTTTTCACTGCAATTAGTAGGTGCTCTCAAGCACGTAAAACTAAATATTTGCTAAACAACTTAACCTGCGGCAACGATGGGATGCGGATCGTCGAAATCCGTCGAAACTGCTGTCATATTGACAGATGAGGGCCAAAGTAAACCGGTTAAACCCGCAGTAAACGAAAACGTTGAATCAAAGCCGAACTCTCTCGGCGACGAGCCGCGAATCACATCTCATAAAGCCACGATTTCAGAAAGCGTTGCTAATCCGATATTTTCCATCGGTGACCGAGTTCATGTTACTGGATACACAGGTAGTGTGAAGTTCATCGGAAGTCTCAGCGATCTAGGCGATGGTGACTGGATAGGAATTGAGTTGGATCGGAAACACCCACAAGGAAATGATGGGTCATTTCAAGGCTTCCGTTATTTTACGTGTAAACAAAGACATGGCATGTTTGCTCGACCGTCCAGTGTGTTTCCTCACACAGATGTGGGCATCATTGAGGAGGCAGCGAATATCAATCCTCGAACAATCGCTTTCATCCAAACGAGTATGCGCCGATTTCTTGCCAAGATTCGACTGGCAAAATTTCGACAGCGCACAGGGGTCGAGAAGCAGATCGATGCACACGTATTGGCGACACCAGAGTATCAAACTGAAAGCGTCGAAAAATTGAGTTCGTACCTGACCAGTCGCTGGGAGGGACACAGGAACAAAGCTTACGCGATTTTTCGATGGCTGAGTTTCAACGTTGCATACGATGTGGATGGCTTCTTTGGAAGGACCGAGAAAAAGAGTTGCGATGCCGCTAGCGTTCTACGCCATAAAACATCAGTGTGCGCTGGTTATGCGAATCTTTTCGAAGCACTTGGTAAAGCCGCCGGTCTACAGGTACATATCATCACGGGTTACGCCAAGGGTTACGGCTTCGAGCCCGGCCAGCAGATTAAAGAAACAAATCATGCGTGGAATGGAGTTCAAGTCAACGGTGAGTGGTTCATTTCTGAGCCTACATGGGGCGCTGGTTACCTGGGAGCTGATTTGATGTTCCACCGCAGCCCAGACGTGTCCATGTTCCTGATGGACCCCGAATATGCTATATGCAGCCATTACCCATCCGACCAACAATGGCAGCTCCTTGATGTACCCATCAGCAAGGAAGAATTTGAGAAGCTGGTTGTGCCTTCTGGAAGAATTCACCAGATGGGATTGGAAATTCTCAGTCACAAGGAAAGCATGTACAGTATTGACGATACAGATCACATCGAAATGATGTTCTACTCTCCATCGCTGAAGATGCTGCGAGGTGATCTGAAGAACATCTCAGGGAAAGAATACGAAGGAAGAAGATGGACACAGATTCTACCTTGTGGAGTGAACCAAGTCAAGCTTAAAGCACAGTTCCCCGCTCCTGGAAAGTACAAGTTGAATTTGTACATCAGAGACGAGGTGTCCAATACAAAGTGGCATGGTGGAATAGAATACATCATCCACGCTAAGAAAGGAGTTGAGAAAAATCGAGGGGGATTCCCGCAATTGGGAGGTGAGTTTTATGAAGCAGGATTCAACCTCGATCATCCACTCGAGAACATTGTATCCGACGACGGAAAGGCTTACATCTCATTACAGAACTACAACATTCAAATTTCTCACATCGTTGGACAGCTTGACCTTGTGGGAGAGGGGAAACGATTCAAAAAAGACTTCGGTGGATATTCGTTTTGTCTCTCAGAAAAGACAGAGAGTGGTTTCCGAGTCATGGTGCATTGCCCACATCCAGGCGAGTACACCTTGAAAGTGTTTGCCAAGTATTTTGGTGAGAGAAAGTCAGATACTTTCGTGTGTACCTATTACATAAATGCTCTTGCTGGTGTAGAACCTGCGCCAGGCTTTCCGAGATTGTCGGACAGCTTTGTATTGTGGGGCCTGGAGCTCAAGGAGCCTCAGCAGAATATTTATGCCCCGGATGGACGAGCGTCCGTTAAGCTTGAGACCCCGGATAATGTATCAGTTGTTGGGTATTTGATGAAAGACAAACAACATCTTGACAACAGTCTATGCTACAGTAACACAGCGGAGGGTGTTGGCACAATTCTTGCTCATGCGCCTGAAGCCGGCATTTTTCAGCTGAACGTATTTGGCAAAAAACCTGAGAGCAAAGACAATGAATATTTAGCGACATTTATGATCAAGTCTGATCAAGCACCTAGCTCAAACCCAGGCTTTCCATACCTGAAGGACGAGTTCAAGGATTGGGGACTAGAACTGGTGGATCAGTTGGAGAACATCGTTTCACGTGACAGACAAGTGAAGGTCACATTTTCTAATCCTCACGGCATCTCTATTAAGCCATGGTTGTTTGATGAGCACAATAAGCAGATCGGCAACTCGTGCCCGGTGGAAACCGCTGACAAGATGACTGTTATAACATGTGAGTTGCCAAAAGCTGGAAATTTTAAACTGAATGTTTTTGGGACGAATTTATCTAATGACAGCACAAAACAAGTGTTTCTTTGTTCATACAAAGTATTATACCTAAGCTAATTTAACCAAAAGTGACTTTTAACGACCGAAAACATTTCGTTAGCAAGCATATGAAGCACGTTGCGCTTTTTGGTGATGAGTTTGGGGACTGATTATTGGTTTGCGCTGGGTGGGGGGTGGAGAGGGGTCGGAAGGGGTCGCAAGGGGTAAGAAGATTTTAGTTGTGACATAATAAAAGTTACCAGATCCCCCCAAGGCTCTGTAGTATTCTGATGACCCCCTTCATTGGCAGTCAGTTTTCTTCTCCCGCTTTATACTCTATTAGCGACGGCCGACCTCCTTTCCTGTCCCCCTAAAAAGCAAGGGATTCTCCCAAAATCCCCTGAACACCCCCCCTCCCTCCCGGCCCGGGCGAGGAATAATGAGTGGTTCTTTGGGTGAGAGCTTGGGTTGAATCGTGTTTCTGTTTCAAGATTCCAATTTTAAAAGTTTCTTTGAACATATATACTCTCGTTTTTGTCAGTCCGGCATAATTCTCATCGGCTAGCGAACATACGAGAAAAACTCTTGATGAGTTTTGAAGAGATCCATGTCCAAGATTACTAAATTATCCCACAAAAAATATACAAACAAGTGAATTTTTTAATCAAATCCTCGCGAAAAATTATCATTTAATAAATGTATGCGTTTATCATTTATTACCTTCCTTTTATTTGTCAGTTATTCATTTTCGTTTATTTCTCCGTGATACTTGATCCGTGATCCCAAATTCTTGAACACCTGGATCCTGATTTTCCATAAAAAATACAAAATGGCGACTCCCGCTGGGATAACCTGCCCATTTCAGTTTCTCGTCTTTAAAGCAGATACTGTAATTATTGCTGATGACTATCGAAGTTATATGATGATACACAGTGGGAAAGAGCGAACGAAACCTTTTTAGAACTTTTTGTGCTTTATTTCCGCCATTTACATCAGTTAGCCTCACTGGTGCCCCTTCAGTGATCATCCATGACTGATCGATCGATTTAATAATAAGTTGCTATTAGCAACGTTCCCCTTTTTATACACATGAAAAGATAATTGAGGCACAGTCGTTCCCTCATGCTACACTAAGCAAGCGACGACAATAGCCACTTGTTTCTTACAGCCAACGATGGGATGTGGAACATCAAAATCGGTCCAAACAGCCGTCGAGACCACAAATCACAGTCAAAATGCGAACGAAAACTTTGACTCGAAACCAAATGTACCCGACGATAAAGCTCCCAAAACAAGCCTAATTGAGAGAGGTGAAAATCAATTTTCCCTTGGCGACCGAGTGCATGTTTCTGGATACACGGGTGCTGTCAGGTTTATTGGTTATTTACGCGACCCAAGCGGCGGCGAATGGATAGGAATTGAGTTAGACCATCCACATTCACAGGGGAACGATGGATTCTTCGATGGAGTTCATTATTTCAATTGTGAGCCGAGGCATGGCATGTTCGCTCGACCGTCAGTGGTGTTTCAACACAAGAATGCTGAAAGTATTACTGCAGAAACGAATACTTCTTTAGAAATGATCACTTTTATTCAAACTAACATTCGACGGTTTCTTGCAAAATTTCGACTGGCAAAATTTCAACAGCGCACGGGAATCGAAAAGCAGATCGATGCACATGTTTTAGCGACACCAGATGAACAAACGGAAAGCTTTGAAAAAATGAGCACCTACCTGACCAGTCCCTGGGAAGGAGACAGGAACAAAGCCTACGCGATTTTCCGCTGGGTGAGTTTCAATGTCGCGTATGATGTGGATGGCTTCTTTGGAAGGACCGAGAAAAAGAGTTGCGATGCCGCTAGCGTTCTACGCCATAAAACATCAGTGTGCGCTGGTTATGCGAATCTTTTCGAAGCACTTGGTAAAGCCGCCGGTCTACAGGTACATATCATCACGGGTTACGCCAAGGGTTACGGCTTCGAGCCCGGCCAGCAGATTAAAGAAACAAATCATGCGTGGAATGGAGTTCAAGTCAACGGTGAGTGGTTCATTTCTGAGCCTACATGGGGCGCTGGTTACCTGGGAGCTGATTTGATGTTCCACCGCAGCCCAGACGTGTCAATGTTCCTGATGGACCCCGAATATGCTATATGTAGTCATTACCCATCCGACCAACAATGGCAGCTCCTTGATGTACCCATCAGCAAGGAAGAATTTGAGAAGCTGGTTGTGCCTTCTGGAAGAATTCACCAGATGGGATTGGAAATTCTCAGTCACAAGGAAAGCATGTACAGTATTGACGATACAGATCACATCGAAATGATGTTCTACTCTCCATCGCTGAAGATGCTGCGAGGTGATCTGAAGAACATCTCAGGGAAAGAATACGAAGGAAGAAGATGGACACAGATTCTACCTTGTGGAGTGAACCAAGTCAAGCTTAAAGCACAGTTCCCCGCTCCTGGAAAGTACAAGTTGAATTTGTACATCAGAGACGAGGTGTCCAATACAAAGTGGCATGGTGGAATAGAATACAACATCCACGCTAAGAAAGGAGTTGAGAAAAATCGAGGGGGATTCCCGCAATTGGGAAGTGAGTTTTATGAAGCAGGATTCAACCTCGATCATCCACTCGAGAACATTGTATCCGACGACGGAAAGGCTTACATCTCATTACAGAACTACAACATTCAAATTTCTTGCATCTTTGGACAGCTTGACCTTGTAGGAGAGGGGAAACGACTCAAAAAAGACTTCGGTGAATTTTCATTTTGCCACTCAGAGAAGACAGTGAGTGGTTTCCGAGTCTTGGTGCATTGCCCACTTCCGGGCGAGTACACCTTGAAAGTGTTTGCCAAGTATTTTGGTGAGGGAAAGCCAGATACTTTCGTGTGTACCTATTACATAAATGCACTCGCTGGTGTAAAACCTGTGCCAGGCTTTCCCCGAATGTCGGACAGCTTTGTATTGTGGGGCCTGGAGCTCAAGGAGCCCAAGCAGAATATTTATACCCCGGATGGACGAGCTTGTGTTAAGCTGAAGACACTGGATGACGTATCAGTTCGTGGGTATTTGATGAAAGACAAACAGCATCTTGACAACAATTTGTGCTTCAGTAACACAGCGGAGGGTGTTGGCACAATTCTTGTTCATTCTCCTGAAGCCGGCATTTTTCAGCTGAACGTATTTGGCAAAAAACCTGAGAGCAAAGACAATGAATATTTAGCAACATTCATGATCAAGTCTGATCAAGCCCCTAGCTCAAACCCAGGCTTCCCCTACGTGAAGGCCGAGTTTAAGGAGTGGGGACTGGAACTAGTGGATCAGTTGGAGAACATTGTTTCACGTGACAGTCATGTGAAAGTCACATTTTCTAATCCTCACGATATTTCCATTACGTCGTGGCTGTTTGACGCAAATGATAAGCAGATTGGCAACTCGTGTCCAGTGGAAACAGCTGACAACATGACTGTCATGACATGTGAGCTGCCAAAAGCTGGAATGTTTAAATTGAATGTTTTTGGGACAAATCCATTGATTGACAGCACAAAACGAGTGTTTCTTTGTACATACAAATTGTTACACACGAAATGATGTAATTTCAAGAACGACAGACGACATAAGTACATAAGGTTTTCGTAAGCCTTATATCTGATTGATATATTGCTTAAAACTGGAATTTACTCGCTGTATCTATAGGAAAGTCCCTCTGCAGTTGTTAACCTAACACTTTTGTCAGAATGGTTAAATTTTTCGTTCAATACGCAATAGGCTCTTCGATGTTTGGACAGCCTGTAGGAATCGACATCTTTGCTTGGGAAGGGGAGACGGTTTCTTTTACTTTTGTATGTACAAAACGTATGATATTTAGTTCTTATTAACCGGGTGGGAGGTCTGTATGGGAGAATCTTGACCGAGGTCGCCAGTACAGACCGAACGCAGTGAGGTCTGTACCAGCGACCGAGGTCAAGATTCTCCCTTACAGACCGACCTAGCTCGGTTAATAAGATGTTTATTATATGGCTGTGTCTTATATGCCAATTTTTTATATTCTTTGTACCTTTTTTTTCTAGACCGGTCTAGATGCCGGTCTAGATGGGATAATCTAGACCGCTTTCAATATTGATTTCAGCCAATCAAATTCGTGAATTCGGTAGTTCCCAGTCCTTGTGAGACACAGTCATATGATAAAGGCACTTATTTTAATCGAATTTTCATTCAAATATTCTCGTTTTTTTCCGGATCCTTGATTCAAACTGCTGTTCGTGCGCAATTTACCTTGAGCGGCTTTTAAACCAGTTAAAAGAAAACATTAGCAGTAAATTTCAAATTTGTTAATTCTTTCATAATGGCACTGGTTTTATAGGAAAAGGACTAGTAGTGTTATTCGTTATATTGGCCTCCTATAACATAACGAATACAGTATGCATCGTCTGATTGGTCAATTTAATTCCCAAGCGGATGCTTTATTAGGTTACAGAGCCTGTATGTAACTTGTCGTAAAAACAAAAAAACGCTTAATTGAAGGTCACTTGTTTAGGTTCCAATCTTTCGATTTAATTTCAAGCGAGTAACAAGCTCCAGACTACAGTCAACGGAGACACCCAGCAGTGCGGGCTTACAGTCTATTCAAAGTTACGTCACAAGAGAGTAGAAATCAGTATGGTGACGTATGCACAAAACCAAACCAAATACTGCCGTGGCGAAAAAAGAAAACTGATTCATTTCTAGTGTCCTTTGTTTGTTTCTTTTTGTGCCAACATCGATGCATCGATATCTGGAAACTCATTTCCTTTCGGCCAAACGTATTCCTTTTCTGACAAAACTGGACGTCACTTTAAGAAGAGGATTTGGTTCTGGATCTATTTCCCCTCAAGCGAGATGATTTTTTTTTTATATCTTGTTATTCATTTTTGTCAACATCATACTGACCTTCTAATTCACGTGATTACAAAGCGCAAAACCAAAGAATACACCAGGCATAAATCTTTTCCGGTGGTGGATGCTCCGTCCTTCCTGCGGCGTGCACATGAGCCCGTAAATACACTAAATAGAGCCGCGGTGAAAGCCATCGCGGAAATTTGTAACCATGACCCCCTCCCCCCGTTTCTTCTTTGAAAAATCCAAGATAATCCTTTGGAAGAGTCAGACTAGTCGTGGAACTGTTAGACACATCGACGGAACCGTCTGAAGACGGACGCTAGTGACTGAAATCGAGCAGAACCGTCCGACGGTAGATGGACGAACGTGTCTGAAATCGGACGGAACGGTCCGAAGACGGACGCTAGTGACTGAAATCGAGCAGAACCGTCCGACGGTAGATGGACGAACTTGTCTGAAATCGGACGGAACGGTCCGAAGACGGACGCTAGTGACTGAAATCGAGCGGAACCGTCAGTAGACGGACGCAAGTATCCGGGGGAGAAAGACAACGGCTTTTTTTTGTACTTTAAAGTGTTGGTTATTCGTAGGTAATTTCACTGTGTTATGCGAGAAAATAATACCCTACCGCGTCAAACAATTGTTCTACTAACAAGTAATGTACCTCTTTGCTCATGTTGCATTTAGGGATTGTAGAGTTTGATCAGTCAAGAAATCCTAAAGGGGGTCATGAACAATCATGCAAATTACAAACTATATTGCAAAACAGCTGTTAGATATTCAGAAAACACATTCCAAATTCAATTTTCTTGCAAAAACCAAATTGCTTCTTTTATTCGTTTATGATAATTAGTTTATTCTTTAAGAGGCAAACGCTTCTTTTCTTTTATATTTGTCAATAATACGTTCTGACGCCAAGTTTACATAGACTTATTTAATTGCCTTTTTCTTTGCCATTTTTGTTTCGTTTTCTCCATTATTACGTCTGCGGCTGACGTACAGTTACTGAAACTTAATCAAGATCCTTGTCTTTAGGGAGATTTATACGGAAATTATCGCCTAGATGTCGGCTTATACAAGTTTTATTTTCATGAAAAAAGATAACGTGGCAACGTTTTTGATCTGCCGAAGTTATTAACGTATCGAAAGACAAATTGAACTGTTGGGTTAAGTGTTTCTGCTAGAAAGGAAAATAATTGATGGTGTCATCGGTGTTTGCAACCACAGAGTTAAATTAAAACGCGCACCAAGCTTTGGACAATTTGTGAAAGTAGGTTTAGTTTGAACACCTTGCGTTTTATGCAAATGCTGGTTTGAAAAGTCATAATAGAAAATAGATTTTCTAATTTTCTATAAAAGGGAAACCAATCCCCTATCAAATTTTCTTTGTTAGTTGAGCAGATGGACGAGTTAATTACTTCCGTGAATTGAAAATTTTAAGCGCCTTAGTCGTACAAAATTGGAGCCAAAAGTTTAGAAGGCGGCGAAAAATTTTAAGTACAGCTAAGGATCTTGAAATGTACCTCTGACATGGAACCCTTTAAAGCTGCTTTCTCATTGTCTTGCGAATGAAAGCTATCAAATTTATTCAGTCTGGAGCGGAATCTTTGAAAGGCGAAGGTAATTCGCTGTGTGCACATTCGACATTAGAATCAAATTCGTTGTCATGCACTGCTCAGAGTGAACACGGAGAATTCGACTATGATTCTCTGTTGGAGGTGATGGACGAGCGAATGAAACGAGAGGAAACGATTTTGTCAACAAGTCCTCATAGAAAGATTGTTAACGCTGTCCGTTATGCCAAAGCAATGAACTTCTCTCTTGACTCGAGCTTGGAAAAAACCAAGGACTTGTTACATCGCGAATTCGAGAGGGAAATTCGACGCATCTTTGACGTGCAGCAAGCCGCTTATCAGGAACTTCCTGCGGTCGAGAGAACCACACGGTCCAATCTAATGGGAGTCACAACAAAACAGTTCCGCCGGCGACTGAGAGAAGCATTAGCAAGCCGAAGGAGATCTGAAGAGTTTAAAAGAACTCGCACACGCTTTTTTCTACCAAGTTTAACCCCAGTTGAACCATCAAGTAGGCAAGACAATGTGTATGTGCCTCTATCTCGATCGAAAAAAGACAGCGAAGTTATTTATTTGCCGCCTATATAACTGCTGCCGGGGAAACCATCTTTGACATATTCTACTTACTTAAGATGGCAATGCATTGCATGGTAATTTCTGACGGATTTACCGAGATGTTCCCATTTTAAAAGTGGGGTTTCTTTCTAACATCTACTCCTTACCTTCTTTTTGCTTGTGCTTTTCCGTAATCTCAAGAAATTACAAGGTCCTTCATCACATTGGCCATTTAAGTTTTACACAGTTCCGCATTACTGTCACTTGTGCTTGTTAGGGATATGAAGAGCAGCTTCGAAGTAGTTGAACGTTTTATTTCTTAAGACCCGTTAACAAATTAATATTTTTCTAGTTCAGTTAAAAGACACACTTTGTTTTCATGTATTTTCTCGATCAATATCACCTTTCAGGTCATTGATGCATTTCATTATAATCTTAACTGAGAACCTCTTGAAAATAGTTCATTTTACGAATTCTTTCTAAAGTCAATTTGTTTTCGCGGTTGTTGCGTATTTCACTTCCTAAAATATAACCCCGGTTTGTAGACTAAAAACTAGGGAAATCTGCTGAATTACTGAGTAATATTGATTTATAACGAGCCTCTGCGGTTTTTAAAGGTGCGACAGATAGATATTAAGGTGAGTATTCCGGACACTTCGTTCGAAGAACTGTACAATAAACTCGGCTGATCAATAATAGCGGAGTTGACTGACGTGTCAGGAAAAATCTTAACAAAACAACAAAGTTAACGATCAAACGTTTTTTCTCCATTAGTTTATTTTGATGTTTGTGATCGATTACGTACCATGAGAAATCATTTTCGCCTTTTAATGAATTGCTCTAAATACGTTAACTTTGTTCTTTCATTGTCACTGGCAGACTGTGGAGAGAAGCTTAATTGTTTCTGAACAGTATCCAAACCCTGACAAGAGTAAAAACACACACATACAGACACGTAAGGAGAACCACACAAGAACCACATAAACAACAATGGAATCACTGATTCAGTTCTCAATACTTCTGATTAGGTGCTGAAACTTACAGTAAATTTAAATGCGGTCTGACAAACTGGCTCTTCGAGATACATTCATACCTTTGTCAATATATCATTTTAGCGGCAAAATTATCTTCGCACATTTGCATTATTAAAACTTACAGCCCAAGCCCTTTTTACGATGCCCAGTCCTAAAAAAAAGTTTTTATAAAGTTGAGAATTTTCTGAATATAAATATTAAACAATCTCATGTAATGTAGTCCTTGACAAGTCATAGAGGTGGAGATTAAAAGAAAAAAAAAAGGATGCATCTCCTTGAGCCTAGATCGTCACAAATCATAATCTTTATTAGCAATCATAAATCTATTACAAATGTTACAAAGTTGCCTCGCCCTCAGGTGGAGGCTGCCTCTCTCCCGTTGTCTCCACGGTTGAGTGGTAAATTCAAATGGCTTTGTCAACGCATACGTACTGTTACTGTTTTCGAACTAATTTGCCTCGTCCTCAGATGAAGGCTGCCTTTTCCTCTGTTGTCTCCACGGTTGAGTTGTAAATTCAAATGGCTTTGTCGAATTTTTCGCGGGCGTCAATAATTTAGTGGATTTTCTTCGAGCGGGTATAACCTGTTGATCACAATCCAAATTAGGAAAACTCGCTCGTTGGCATTTGTAAACTAGCGAAGCGACTAAATCTTCTTCGGTTCGCTTGGTTTTTTGAACGCAGCTATATTTTCGGGGCTATTCCTTACAAGATGATGTGTTAGCCATCGTTTGAAAAGACAAAATTGTATATGAGGTAATTTTCAAAGGAATGGATATTGTTTGTCTCAATCTTAGAAGTGTTGACGGGACTACGGGATAAAAAATATGGGAGTTCTATCACAAGGTA